ACCATCCTCTTGAGCATAATTTTTTTTCTCGAAATAAAAGTAAAATCGCGACCGCTGGCGGCTGCTGCTTCTTTTTATTATTTTTCTCATGTGGCTTCTCAGGCTCATCATGAGGGCAGACGACTACTTTATAAGTACTTTGGTGTTTGTGCGTCCATATTCTCGGATGTAATGGGCCATAAAAGAACTGTTGACTTTTTATTACAGTTTGTATGGCTTCAAAAACACTGAAGTGCAGTGCACGTTGCCTATGGTGGAGAAAGCAAGCTGGGGGCCCTGATTGCATCCCCCAGCTGGACCCTTTGCTTGCATTGTTGGCCCCCGAACGATTGTTGAGAAATGTGCGCACTATAATAAAAACCTCATTCGACCAAATTTCGAATTTCTCACAGGGGCATTGCGCCGCCAACTGCTCTTTTTCGAGAGGCGGCCACGCCGAATTTGGCTGATTATCGACGCTCCAAGAGGGCCGCGAATAAATTTCCCGGCTGACTTTATTCCGCCGGGAAAGCATGCAAGGTATATCGCGCGTTGACAATGGTGTCAGTCACTGTCATTCACAATCGCGGCCAGATGTCGCATTGTAACGTGTAAATTTTAACCTTGGACACAAAAAACAAACTCGTACAAATACAATCACTTTGCCCTGTGCGCGCACGAATTAATGCTCATTGTTGAGCGTGCATGCATTTGAAAGAGGAGGACTGGCTGCGGCCATGGGGGAGCGTTGCATGCGTGCAGCTCCAAGAGAGAGTTTGTTTACTGCGCCCTAATGGTTTGTAATGCCGGGCTCAGCTACGCATTTCCTATTCAAGGGCTTACCAAAATCCGGCCAGAATGCACAAAACGATTTCCAACCGATAGAATTTCCATTCCATCAGTTGCAAAGACAAAATAATAAAAATAAAATAAAAAATACACATGCAAAGAAAAGTTTGGTGACGTTTTTTTAGTAAAAAAAGATAACTTTTTATTATCAAATATAATTATTCTTGCCACGGGTCCACGTTTTTTTTCTTCATATCTCTCCCTTGTTGAAAAATTTCCCGACCGTAAAACTTAATGAAATTTATTGTAGATTGCAACCTGAATTTTACATTTTCTGCCTCAACAATTTTGTTGTTGATGAAATAAAATCCAGCTTTCTCAGTGAAGATGAGCAACTTTATTGTTTCTGCATGATGCAGAAAATCCCTGCTCTGTTGCGGGTTGCAACCCTAATTCATGAGATGCTGAAATGAAATAAGCTGAAATTTAAACAATTTTAAGTTCTTGTCGAATAAAATTTAACATGAAAATTATATTAAAAAAAAAAAAAAAAAAATAGATTTTAATACTTTTTTTTTCATTTTTAAATCCCAAAATCATATTCGTTTGGTCTTCCAATGAGAAAAAAAGGTGCACACTCTTTTCCACATGTCACAATTTTGTCAGTTTGTACAATTTGCTTGGATTTTTTTTTAATTAAATTAATTCCAATATCTTGTATCAAAAAAATTATGGAGAAAAATATGTTTAAATATAATTTAATTTTAATTTTTTTTTATATAATTTGCATTTTGCATGTTAATTTTTCAAAATGTTATTAAAACTTTTCAAATGTCAGGTGATTTCATTTCAACAGCTCATTAATTACGGTTGCAACCAAAACTAGTAAAGCCAGCAGGGTTTTTCTGTATCATGCAGAAACGATAAAGTTGCTCATCTTCACGGAGGAAGCCGGATTTTATTTAATCAAAAAATGATCACCTTGAGTGCCAAAAAGTTCCACAACAACAACTATAAGAATAGAATTTTGTTGTTTTTACTCCAAGACAACTTATGTACGATAATCCCATCTGAACCCAGCAAACTTTTTTTCTAAGAGGCTCAAAATGGAAACACGCTGCGTTTGAGGAATTTCGAAAGCGTCCTGAAAATCCTCCTCCGCGATTAAAGCTTGAAATTCAGCTGAACAAATATTTTGGTTGGACGCCGCGGCGTCGGTTGGTAGCCGAGAGGGCCTGAGCAAAATAAAAAAGGAAGAAAGAAAGAAAGGTTCGGTGGCGTCTGCCTCGCCTTGGCAGCCAGGCGAGCGAGCAGGCCGTGCAGGACCATTTTTATTTTTTGTGCTCAACTAGGCAGCAGCAGCATCTTCTCCTTTTATCACCACAAATGGACCGCAGTTGCCAAATCAATCAGCCTCGGCCAGCAGCAGCGCCGCACACAAACTGCGCCGCCATAAATCAGCTGGGTAATTAAACAATTTGATGCGATAGTGGCGCGATGATTTATTCGAGCGGTAATAAAATCATAATAATTACCCGTTCCTTTCTCTTGACACCCAACGCGTGCTCTGTGAGAAAATTACGACCGAAAAAATATTATACGGCCGGCCGGCCGGACCGAACGGCAACGCCGATGATGATTTTATAATAGACCTAGACGCGCTGGCCAGAATTGAAATCCCAGCCTTATATTTTTTTGTAATGATTCCATGCTCGGAAAAAGTGAAAAATCCCCAACTTTCCAACTGCACCGGTTTTAATATACATAATTCACGCAGTGTGTGCGCACCTGCAGCACCCGCGCGCGCGAGCGGTGTCACAATTAAAATGTCGTTAACTTCGGGTGCCGCTAATGTTATTGCACCATTATAGACGCATTAGCATAGATATATTATTACACTGGGCATGGAAAAGTAGCGCGGGGTGGATGATGCGTTCACGTGGTTCGTTTCGACGACGGCAGGGCCGCGCGGTAATTGATTTGGGAAATTGCTAGGGCCCCTCGGTTTTGTTTTGATTGCTGCGTAAACGGCTGAATTTTTTATTATTTTCCATTTTGCAATTAGCTGCGAATATTATGTATGTGTTCGGCCCTTCTCTTTTTGCCCACGTCATGCTGGGTAATGTGTCGCCGGTTCTCTCTCGCTCGCTCGCTCTGTGGCGCGCGTGTGTTGGTCGCTCCCTAATATGCGCGACGATGATGACATGACGTAAGCAATAATTTTGACACTAAGGGCGCAATAGAGAAACTCTTTCTTTCTTTCTTTCATTTGCCTCCGCTCGCGTAATCGATATATCGATCTGCTCGCAGGCCTCGTTTTCACGCCGCCACTTTTTTCTCTCTCGCCACCGACGGACGTGCCAGAGCCCTTTTAACTTAATGGATTTTGAGGCTGGATGTGTATTTGAAATCTAGCCGCGTCTTCTTGCGCGCCGAGCTGATTCATTAAGGGCCTTCTTTATTAAGCTAATGCTCTGCGGACTTTGGAATCAAGATGCGGGAAAAAAATTAGCGCAGGCTTGGATAAAATATTAGTTTCTCCTTGTTTGTATCAAAGCTGAAGACACCGCATAATTTTTTTTTTATTATTAATAATAATTGAAATATTGCTTATAATTAGAGGTTAATAGAAAAATTTGATGACCCGAAACATGCAATTGATTACTTGCAACAAGCGTATAAATCTATTGATTTTAATTTCCAACGTTTATTTATATATTATTTTACATTTTATTTTTAAAGTTTTTCCTGCAATTTATGTGAATTAAATTAAATTAATTTGAGCATATATAGATATTAAGAAAGATAGAAATAAAAATAAAATAAAATCTTAAATTTAAATTAATTTATTTAGAGGACTAATTCAAAATTCCATTCTAAATATTAATTCTTTTTTAAAACTAATTACGGAGATTTGAAAATTTTAAATCCCCTCCTTGAACCACATCAAAGTGCGTTTTTAATGACAAGGCGAGTGGAATTTTTTTTTCAATTTAGTACGCGCGGCGTGCTCTTGCAGGCCCTCGCGCGGCCTGTTGGGCGAGCAGAATTAAGTAGTCAAGTGTCGTAAATTATCTTTTAACAAGGGGATGATTTAAAGTGCAGACATGCGAGCACAATATTTCATGCGAGAGTGTTTTACGACTTGTGTGTGTGGGAGGCGGTCCAATAATAAAATAATTGTCCCATTTCGCCTCAAATTAGACTCACGCCATCTGCATCCGAAAAAACAAGCTCCAGCGAGGTGCGGATTTTTTTGTCTCTAACTCGTTGATTATCCTCAGAAGTGGCTGATATTATTTCTCGACTGCGTGTACAGGAAGCCTGATACTCTTTGACGCCCCCTGTTTATCCAATTAATGCAATCCGCGGCAGATGGCCCGTCGGCCAATAAGCTGCTCTCTTTTTGCCGCAATTTCGTCTCTCGCGGCGGCGGCGACGGCCACACTCGAAGATTGTTTGCCCGCTCAAATGTTATTATTGTCAGTACATCATTGTGCACATTAAGCGTGGTGCCGCGGCTATGATTTATTGCCCCTGACCTTGTTAAGTGGACTGCCATTGCAGCAGGCGGGCAGGCCTGCACACGAGATATTTATATGAATTTAAAACGCTCTGCCTCCCTCTCGCGACCTTTTCCAGCCGCGTTCGTGTTTTGCTGCTGCTGCTGGTGAAAAGCTGAAAACCCTTCCTTCCTTCGTTTTTATCTCAAGGCGAGTCCAGGAGTGCTTTTAGGCCGTGGAGAATTTCTAACTGTAAAGGCCGAGAGGGCTGCCTATTCTACTCAGAGACACGGAAAAAAATAATGCCCTGCCTGGGAAGAGCTATAGTGCTGGGGATTGAGAGGTTTTGTGAGAGCTGCTGGTCTTTGTCAAGGGAAATTGAATTTTTAAAAATTATCCACGGCTTCACTTTCGGGCAGAATTTAATTTAATTAACTTGCTAAAGGTGCCTGGCACTATAAGCTTAAAGCTTTGATGGGAATTTTTTTAGAAATGAAAAATATTAAAAGAAAACTGCTGATAAAAGTCAGCTGTTTTGCCATGAGGAGCTGATTCTATAGTCCATAGTTCAGAGGATTCCCCACCGAACAAATTTGAGTCAATAAAATTTTAATCTTGTAAAATTTTAGAATTTTAAGTTATTTAAGAGTATTTTTTTGTGATATATTTTTATTTGCTGATTTAAATAATGGATTTAAATTTTAATGAATTTATCTTTGTGTGTTTCAGAGGCCACCCTCGTCATCCCTGTCGTACCCTGGGCCTGGCAATGACGACGTCAGGTCGCCTGGTTCAGGTGGCACGCCAGGCCCCCTTTCCCAACCTCCCAGTTCCCAACAAAGTGGTGACAATGGCAGTGAAGCAGGTAAGAACTCGCAATTTTCGCCTTACATTAATTTTTATCAGCTCACTTTGCTGCGTCGTGATAAATCCGTTCGGTCGCCAATTAGTCCCTAATTGGTAATTAATTAGGAGGCACAATAAAATTCAAATAAAATCACGCTTATCTCTGCGATATTGCATCAGTCTCGTTGACATGCACGAAAAAGGCCATCGTCGGACAGACGCCGCTTATCACTCGGGTTCATCTGGTGTCTTGCTTTTTTAGCCCCGCCGTTCATTAACAAATTATTTATAATCATCATCAGCACAAATGTTATTATTAAACGCGGCGGCCGAAAAAAAGAGATCTAACTGAGCGTCAATATACAATCCGGCCGGCTTCTGGAAGACAATTTATTATATAGCTTTTTTAGTGATATTTTATGGCTTTTTAATTGGTGTTGTGCCTGCTCATTTATATATCCACTGCGAGATGAGATCAATTTCTTTCTTTCTTTCATAGACCTATTGATTTTTTTTTCACACTTGGTGGTCCGACTCGAGTTGAAAATTTCCAAAAACCGTTTCCTTCCGGGAAAATAGAGTCAAGTTTGTTGACAAGCCGCCTGCCTGGTGGTTTATTGTATGGTGTGATGACGGCGGGATGGGGAAATTATCGCCGCAAGTTTATCAACACGGCCATAAATTTGCAGCACGCCATACACACACACACACTATAATGCGCCGCGCTGCTCTTTCACACACTCGCACGCCGGACGAACTGCTGCATTTTTTTAAGTGTCCCCAAATCAGCTGTTCGGCGCACACCGGAATAATTTGTGCGTTTTATTACCTCCGCGGACAAGACAGGAAAGTGCTAAAATTTATATTTGTGTGTCTCGCGTGTGCTGCCGACGGGGAACACCCAGTGACACAGTGAGCCGAATTTTCCTACGTGAAAAATAAAACTAAAACTTGATGTGGTACTTTTGATTTTATCCGCTGCGTAATGTTCTTTAAAATGGCGAGGGACCCTGTAGTCTCTGTAATGGAATTAAAGCTGAATCGTAAAGAGAAAAATGAAGCAGCTGAAACATTTTGCAGTGGGAGATGGAAGATAAAAAGCACAACAAAATATTCAAATTTATACTTGTGCTTGAATCGAGTTTGAATTTTACTCAGATGATTTTTTGATTTTTTTTTTTTACACACGTACAAATCGATATATTGTAATTTCAAATTTTAATTGGAAGTTTGATGATATTTTTTATATATTTGAAGAAAAGCGTTTGGATTAAAACCTTTTTGGCCATAAATAAAAAGATTGCTTGCAGCTGTTTCTATACAAAGGTTTAAAACTGGTCAAAGTTTTGTTACATAATATTAAAAAAAAAATGGTATCTCTCTCTTTGAGATCCAACCGATTTCTGAATTGTTCATCATTCATAAATTATTTTTTTTTTATAATTTGAAGAATTTGAGAGCAAAATAATTTTTTGGACAATCAAATTGCTTTGGAACAAAAGCTTAATTGAAATTCCGGTGCGTCACTGCCTCCCATCTCCTCGAGACGGGGCGGAATGCTCAATCTTTAAGGCATTAAATGAGCGCTAATGCAGAATAAGGGGCTCGCTCTGGTGCCGCCGCCGCCGTTGCTGCATGAATGTAATTATAATCTATTCATGCGCCGGTCCCTGCGGGAATAAATAAGCCAACGTAGCGTTCTCGCGTCATATTTGGACTCGGTGTTTGCTCCGGGAGCGGCAAAGTGAAAATTAATAATAATCCTCGGCGCGAGAAAATGCAAATCCCGGGGTGTTTCTCCCACTGCTGCAAATTGGAATCTGCACCCAGCACCAGCTTTGTATTATTTTATTGATCTCTCTCACTGTGCTGACGGCTTTTGTTGTTTGTATTTGCACTTATCAATGGTCGCGGGAGATTTCCCGCTGCGCGCAAATTGACACGAAATCCCACGAAAAGCTGCTCGCTCCATTTCCATCATCTTTTCCTCCTTTTTGTGCGGAAAATTGGCCCCGCTCTCCTTTTCCGCCCCTGTTTCCATGCTGGGGGAGCATGTTAGTTTGTTTGTATTTATACTTTTTTTTCGCTCGCCTATACAAGCTGCATATTTATTTTCGTGTTTGAAGTTGATGACGCGAATATTAAAAGCAGCTGGTCGGAGGGCGAAATAAATTTAAATTGGCCCGATCTGTTGATACACTGATAGTCTCTCTCAAGCGGGCCACACACACACTCAAGACACATCAGCCAAATACAAAGTATTACTCACGCTCGCTTTGCTTTTGCTTTTGCACCCCGGATTTTTTTCTTCCGAGAGACGCCGCGCCTGCCTCTGGTGTGTAATTTATTTGCCTTCCCCAGCTAATGCGCGTATATCGAGGACGTTAAAATATTTTTCATTTCAAGAATTTAAAGCAGCTCCGGGAGTTACTTTCTTACTTCCCTCTCAGCACAGTTGACAGTCCTTTTCATTAATGAATCAAAACGAGGGCCACCCTGCTGAAAAAAAGACTGCGCTCTTTTGACAGCCGCTGAAATTAATATTTTATATTTTTATCTCGGCCGCGGTGGAGCAAAAATTCCGCTCGCTGCAGACTCGATTTGTTTATCATTTAATTAAAAGTGTGCTGCACGTTTCCGCGAGTCGCGACGACGTTCGCAGCATTGTCTTAGTGCATTGCGAAAATATCGCCGGGCTTTATCAATTCCGGGACCGTTTCCTCGGCACAGCAGCACGACGCTCGCTCCCTCGCTTTATTTTTTAATTTAGCTGCTCTGTGCTCCTCACTCCTTTCCTCCTTATCAGCCGCGAACAAAGACATGAAACACTGATTGGAATTCGCAGCAGAGCAGACGGGGTGCTGTGAGCCACCAGCGGCGTATTGTGAAAACGTGTAATGGCTGTTTTTGTGTAGCAAGCCGGCAGCCAGTAAACGGCTGTCTTGGCTATTTTGATGGAAAATTATGAATTCAGATTATATTTTAAAAATAAAGTGATTATTGAGTGTATTAAATTATAGTTCTTTGTAATAGTAAAAAGAAAAAAAGAACAGAATTTGCGAAGTACATTTTTAGTATATATGTATAAATGGTTTTTGTAGAGACCGACTTATATGTAGTTTACAAACTTAATATTCCAATTGATTTGAATAATGTGTCTCAGAAGATTTGAAAACTTGATTAAAAAAATAATAATAATAATATGGAAAAAAAATTAAAAACATTTATATTTTATATTATGTATAAAAAAGACAATCTGTTTATAAAATTATATATTTTGATGATAATTTTTTTTTATTCTATTGCTCAAGCTTTTTTTAAACTTTTATTCCATACAAAGTCATCATAATAAAGGGAGATTTTATTCCTTTTTGGAAAAACCTTTCCTCTGCCAACGAGATCCGCTTTGCTTTTTGAGGCTCAACAACGCTCTTGCCTCGCTTTTTTACTCCTTTTTAGCCTCCCTCGGCAGACAAAAGCAAAGGATTTAAGAAGAATTCGCCCATGCAGCAGCAGCGCAGTGTAGTAGACGGGGTGCTGCCAAAAGCAGAGCTCGGTGCGGCGTCGGCAGCATTAAATAAATAAATAAATTTGACGCAAGACTGCCCCACAGCAGCGCATTATTTTTATTTTTATTTCAGAGAGTTGTAGTAATAGTGAGTCTCGAGCATCATTTCTCTATTGTCATCAGCTCGCATTTAAACTGCTGCTTGGGCTCTTCGTACATATATTTTGTTATGCCACGTATTGAGAAGAGAGAGAGAGAGAAATAAAAAAAAAGAAGAAAGAAAGAAAGAGAGAAAAGGGAAAAATAGACGCTTGTTGTACTACGAAATGTAATCCATTGTGCGCGTTCATTACGCCAGTATTCACCAGGTAAAAGCTGCTGTGCAGCCTGGACTGGTATGAATAGTACAACCGCTGCTGCTTTTTATAAGTGCGGGAGGGCTGAGTTATAAACGGGGGATCGATGATGAATGCCTGATGGCTCACAAAGCAACAGAGAGCACTCGGCGGCGGCACACACACATCATACAATAATATAAAAAAATATACGGCGACGAGCAGCATTCAAATACAGATGCGTGCGTGACCTTGTAATGGGCGACCACCCTGAGCAGTCGAAAATTTTTCCGAAAATGCCCCTTTGTTCGTCTCAGAGGCGAGTTTATGTGCAAGTCTTGTGGGGAGCCGCAGCGACAGATCTGGTTTTGAGCTTTCCTTTGATCGGTGACGACGACGACGCGTGATTGCATCACGACGACCGATATATATTATTATCCACACGGAGAGCAGAGAGAGACGCCGTGCCTTTTATTATTAAAATAATCTTAAGCACGCTGATGGAAAACTGGTGTCATTTGCTGAATGCCTTTTAAAACGCGCACACGGCCGCTCGAATGAATTCCTACTTCTCGACACTTTCACCTCATTTTTCAGACGAGAATTGCGCGTTAAATTTGGCATTTGGACACACATCACACACAAAAAATAAGAGAGGCCTTTTCTCAGAAGGTCACCTCATTTTGCTTGAAAAGACTGTCTTGTCCATTTAAAGTTCACGTGATTTCCTCATATTTAAATTTAAAGTTAATATTATATGCGCATACGTAATTATAATTGACATCAGTTTATTTGTTAATGGTTAAAAAATACTCAATTATATCATTAGGCAGAATAAACAATGCAGCAATATTTGCAGTTGCATCAATTTGCACAACAGTTTAAATTTTGGATCTGCATTCCAATCATTTAATATTATTCTCAAATTATTATTTTTATATATAAAAAATTTAAAAATTAAATTAAAAGATATTAAAAATAACATTTCAAAATGTAACTAGTTTTATATTTTTTAAATTGATATGTTAAATTAAAAACATATTGTTATTCTAGAGATTTTTTTATCATTATTTAATTAAATTAGAATTATTGCTTTTTACAAAGTAAACATAAACAGCATAATTTAAATATAAAAACTCTATGCCAAAAATTAGATATCCTTCTACATTTTGGTTC